AAAGAAAACAAAAAAGGAAAAATTGAGAGAGACGAGACGATCGACCAATCAAAAACGTTTTTTTTTTCAATGTTTAACTTACGAGAAAAATTTGAAAAAACCTATAAAGTGAAAAAAAAATTAAAACTTAAATTAAAAATTCATTTGAATTACGTCATTCTTTTTTTTCTTTTGTAACTTATTATTATTATTATTATCATCGTCATTATTAATATTTCAAAACTTGCTTTTCCTTTGAAATTATTATTATTATTATTATTATTATTATTATTATTATTTGTTTTTTTTATTTTTTTTTATTCCTGCATAAAAATTTTTTCTTTTTTTTTTTTTTTTTAATTTTTTTTAATTTTTTATTTTTCTTTTTACCTCGTTCGTAAATTTTCCTTTTATTTTTTCCTTTTATTTTTTCCTTTTATTTTTTTCCTTTTTATTTTTTTTTCTCTCCTCCTCCTCCCCTTTATGAATATTTATAAAAGTAAAAAAAAAAAAAAGGAAAAAACAAAAATGTCTTTCATGTAATTGTGTCGAATGGATTTTAAGCTGTCAGCATCGTTTTATTATTATTATTATTATTATTATTATTATTATTATTATTATTATTATTATTATTATTTTTTACCCTTTTGTCGTCTTAGCGTAGAATTTTTACTTTAAATTTATTTATTTTACTTTTCTTTTTTTTTTTTATTTTGAGTTGGTACGAGTAAAAATAAATAAATAAAATTTATTTTTTTTTATTAAGGAAAAATAAAAAAAATTTTTTTTTTTTCATTCGCTTGGACCAAAAAAGAGAGAGAGATAGAGATAGAAAGAGAAAGAGAGAGAGAGAGAAAGAGAGGCACACACACACACACACACACACACTCGCTAATTTCATTATTATTATTATTTTTTTTATTTTTTCAAAACAAAAAGGAAAACTGGAATTTAAAATTAAAAATAATAATAATGATAAAAAAAAATTTAATGGAATTTTTAATTTTTGTCTCCGAAAAGAAACGACGAAAAAGAAAAAAAAAAACGCAAAACGGGGTAGGAAGGGGGTAGGGCGTAGGGCGTAGGGGTGGGGTGGGAGTAGGATGGGGAGAAAAGGGGAGGCGAAACGTTACCAACATAAAAATAAATTTTTCTTTTATTACGAAATAATTATAATAAAACCATAAATAATAATACGCTATAAAAAATCTATACGTATATTTATTTATTTATATATATCATCAAATTTTTTGATCGTTCAATAAAATAATACTGATAATAATAATGATAATGATAATAATAATAATAATAATAATAATAATAAATAAGAAAACAATTTGATTATTTTATACATTTTTTTTTTTTATTATTGTTTCGTAATAAAATTTTCCATTTTTATTTCAAAGTTATTATTAAAGAAAGAGAAAAAAATAATAAAATTACAAATTTTTTTTTCTTCTTAACTTTAATAACGTATAAAAAAATATAAATTTTTTCTAACGTTTTCTTTAAAAAAAAAAAAAAAATTAAAAGGAAATGAAACTTTCAACTAAGATTAATTAAAAGGCGTGTGAAACAAAAAAAAAGAAGAAAGAAAAAGAAAAGAAAAAAACGTTGAAAAAATCTCGGAAGAAGAAGAAGAAGGAGGAAGGAGAGAGAAAGAGGAAGAGAAAAAGGAAAAGGAACCAAGAGACAGAGAGCGAGAAAGAAAGGGAACAGAAGGGGGAGAGAGAAAGAGAAAAAGGAAAAGGAACAAAGAGAGAGAGAGAGAGAGGAGAGAGATGATGTAAAAGCGTTAAATTTGCTTATCCTAGCAAAATTTTTAGTATAATATAATGAATTTAGTGCTGAACAAAGTCAAAACATAACTGAATTCCCGATGGAAAATTAATGTCGACAGGAGCGAACGATGCGAACGCATGATAAATAAGAAAAAAAAAAAGACTAAGTGAGGGGAGGAAGGGGGAAGAAAAGGAGTGGCAGTGGCGGCTGACGTACGCGAAAAGAAAATGGCGGATAAGAAGAAAGAAAGAAAAAACACACACGAACGCACACACTTGAAGAAATTAAAAATTTTTATTTTTTTCGTTAATTGTATAAATTACCCCTTCCTTCTTTACTCCCCTCCCAATGCTATTACCCTTTAACTACTACATTACCCACTCCGCACCCTCCTCCCCTTCCCCGGAAAAAAAAGGGAAAAAAAATTTTTTTTTTATTACAAAAAATATAGTTTAATTAAAGTGTTGTACTGAACTATTCTTTTCTTTTTTTCTTATAACTTATTCTTTAAATTTTACGGTAATAAAATTTTTTTTTAGAGTAATAAGAACCCGGTGACTATTACTATGAGAAAGTATTATTATTATCATCATCATCATTATTATTCTCGACTACCCTTTTTTTTTTTTATTACTTATTTTACCACAAATTTTACAACTTTTTAAATAAAACTTTTCTTGCCCTTTTTCTTTTTTTTTTAAATTGCTTCTGTTTTTTTTTTATGTTATCATCATATCGTTGATAACAACAACAACAAAAACAACAACAAACAACAACAAACAACAACAAAAAACAACAACAACAACAATAGCAACAACAACATCAAAATATTTTTTTTTATTGCATTTTAGTGTTTCGCATATGACAATTGTATGTTCATAAAAAAAAAAAAAAAAACGTGGAACTAAAAGAAAATTTTTTTCCGAATGAGTAATTTCAATAATGCCAACCTGACAAATTGAAAAAATGAAAAAAAACCCCTCCCCCCAAAAAAAAAAAATTATCGTTTTCCTTATTTATTTTTATTTATTAAATTGTAAAAATAAAATAAAAAATATTTTCGCAATTTAAAATAATAATAAATTTATTTATTTATTATTAATAATAATAATGATAATAAATGAATATAATAAATTAATTGAATTTGACATTTCGCCAGTCGAGTGAAAATTAATTTTCGGGGATAAAAATTGTCTTTTTTTTAGACAATCAATTTAACCTCTTGACGGAACCCGAAAAAAAAAATTTTCCTTTTTCTCCCCCCCCTTCCCTCTCCTCGTTTTTATACGTTTCCATTTTCTTTTTTTTCCTTCCCATCATCAATTTTGTGATTCGCGCACTCACGTACTCTCTTACATTCACGCACGCAAACACGAACGCACGAACGCACGCACGCGAAAAAAGGTCTTTTCGTTTATTATTTATTTATTTATTTATTTATTTTCGTAAAACAAATTTTCGCGCAAACGGAAACTCGCAAAACCTTTTTTTTTGTATGCGTTTGCGTCCCTTTTGATTAAACAACGACAAACACAACCGATAATAAGAATCACGCGTGTCAAAACCATCGCTCAAATTTAGAAAAAAAACCAAAAAAAAAAAAAAATACAATAATCAAAAAACTCTCCTTCCGGTTATATTCCGCACATCGAACGAATCGATAAAGTTTTACTTCCGGTTTTTACGTTCCAATGAAATACAATGGAATCGAATAACCGACCATCTGGTCGACGTATAACAAACAACAAACAAATTCTCCTTATCGCATATCATTCCATTTAAAATAAAATTTTAAAAATTTCCAGACGGCTCACCGTGATAATAATAATAATAATTACAAAACAATTATTAAATTATTATCATCATTATCATTATCGCAACCTAATTATTTATCATAAACACGCATTTATATTCATATTTTGTTAAATGATTACGTAATAAATACGTCACCGTTTATTAGAATTACGTTACCGCAGGTAATATTTAATTGGATTAATTATTATTATTATTTTTTTTTAATATTAAATTTAATTTTTAATTTGTTTTCATTACTAATGACGTCATGACATTTATTTATTTATTAATTTTAAAAAAATAAACAAAACATCGACCCTCTTCCCGCGCGTAACCGATGTTGCCAAATTTTCATTCGAACGAGAGCGAGAGTATACAACAACAATATGGTTCTGGAATATTGTTTGTTTCTTTTATGTTTTTAATGAAAATTGTATTTTTTGTTTGTTCGCTCGTTTGTTTGCGGTTGTTTAAAAGATTTGAATACGCGAAACATTTCCTAATTACAGCAAAAAAAATTTAATTTACTAACGAAAAAAAAAAAATAAGTGACGTAAGCGCAAAATGTTTCTTGTATTAACGGAAAACATAAAAACACATAAACGTGGCAAACATAACAACAACAACAACGGGGTAGAATACGATGGGAGTAAACATTTAACTTACATAAAAAAAACATTTCGCGTGATTTTTATAACGTAACAAACAAACAAACAAACGAAAAAAGAAAAAAAAAAAACATAATTGAATAAAAGAAAAAAAAAAAATGTTTTTTTTGTTTTACCCTCGTTTTTGTTTTTGTTTGTACAACAAACCGATTTTTGTTTGTGTGTGTGTGTTCACTCACTCTCGAGCCATCCAAATAAGACATATATTATTCACACCAAAATCATCTTTGATTACAATCTGAATTTATTTATTTTTTTTAATACATTTTCCTTTTTCCCTTTTTTTCCTTTTTTTCCTTTTTCCTTTTTTCCTTTTTTTTTTTGATTTACATTGCGTGTTTTTGAAAATAAAATAAAATTAAAAAAAATATATATATCGAACGAATAAAACAAAAAAAAAAAAAAATCCATTCTCAGCAGGAATTTTTGTGACCGGAATTAAAAAAGGAATAATTTTACAATTCTATTGTTATAACTCTCGTAACATTATCATTATCATCATCATTATCATTATTATTATTATTATTATTACTTTTTACGCGTTACGGGTAATTTTACTAAGACCCCTAGTTTTTTTTTTTTTTTTGTTTATTTACTCCTTTTGTCTTTTGTAATTTAAAAAAAAAAAAGAAAAAACTATTTTTCACGAAATTTTTTTTTTACTTTTTTTTTATTTTCGTTGTTAATTGACCGAAACCACGTGACTCTGCCCCCTCCCACTCGACCCCTCATTGACTCTTTCCTAATTATATAACACGTCACTGTTTTTTTTTGTAATTAATTTCCGGTGAAAACTAAAAATGATTTCTCATTTTAAAAAAAAGAAAAATGTTTGTTTGATTCTTACCTTCTCGTAGAGTCACCATGTAATAGGATTCTTTGCTCGGTTGACTGGGTCCCATGTTGTTTGTTGCAACAACCCGAAAACTATAAACGGTAAACGGATATAATCCGACAACTTGATAACTCGTTTCGTTATTTGATGTTATTATAGCATTTTTAACATCCCAATGACCGTCTTCACCGACTCTGGAAAAAAACAAAAAAAATTTTTTTTTTTTATTATTATTTCAATTATAATAATCGAAACGATGACGTCATAGTTTCGAAAAAAAAACATGAAACGTAATCATTTTTTAAATTATTAGAAAAAAAAGAAATTTTAATGAGTGATCATTATAATCCAAACGACATTAAAACGTCATTAATATCTCGAATTATTTTCGATACTTATTAAATTATTATTATTATTTTTTTTCTCCAGAGAAAAAACCCCTCGTCGTGGGGAGACGTAATCGTCGATAATTTATTTATTTATTTTATTCCTCTTTTAATATCGTTATTATTATTATTATTAAATTCGAATAAAAAATAAATAAATATATTAAAACGATAAAGATAAAAAAACACTTTCTACTGGAATTTAACTGGAACGAACGACGTAATTTTTACCTGAAAAGACATTTTATTTTGATTGACGTTAAACATTTATTTTCCATTTTTTTTTTCTTGAAATTTTTTTCCTGCTCCCCCCTCCCCTCCCCGTCTCCCCGTCCCACTTTCCCACCCGTTTTCTCTCCCTCTTTTTTTTTTCCTCTTTCTGCTTCCCCCCCCGTTCAGTTTTTTTTTTTTAATTTTCGACGTGGGAAAATTATTTATTAAAATTTAAGTAGTTAATACTAGCGTTTGCATTTTCCTCGATTGCGAACAACATTGCATTTTCCTTCCAGAAAAATTTTTTTTCCTTCTTTTCTCTTTGTACCTCCCCCAATTCCCTCTGCCTCCTCCCTCCTGCGGGAAAATTCTAATATGAGAAAATACTCTTCAGAAAAGGAATATTTTTAAAAACTAAAATAATAATATTAAATAAAAACTGTTTTTGGCAAAAAAAAAAAAAAAACAGGACCGGTTTTTATACGTCGTAATTTTATGAATACGGTCCTGTTACACGTTCCCGTTAATTAAACCGTTCAAAAAAAAATAATAATAATGATAATATCAATTATTTAAAAAAAATGGAATTATGTAGCAAACAATTGTTTTATTACGAATGATGATTTTTATCAAACAATGTTTTAATAAAAGGTTGTTAATTTTTTCATTTCTTTGTTTGTTTGTTAGTTTGTTTGTTTGTTTCATTTTAAAAAAAATTTTGTTTTTTTTGGGAGATTTTTAATTGATGATCTCGGCTAAATTTTTTTTTTATTATTGTGCACTTTAACGTTTTTTTTATAATTTTCTCTTTATCTCTCTCTCTCTATCTTTCTCTAGCCTCACTGTCATCTCTTTTCTCCCTATCTCTTTCTCTTTTTCTCTACCTCTCTCTCTACGTCATCCCTTTCTCTGCTCACACACGCTTTTCGTCAAACATTTCATTTTTATTTTTATTTTTTGAATCCCTTTAAAAATTAATAAAAATAAAATTTTTAATAATTATCATTTTTATTTTTTCATTCATTCATTCATTCAAAAAAAAAGAATATTAATAATAATAATAATAATCGAAGTCATAAAAATTAATTTTTTTTTTTAGAAAAAGTAAAAAAATGACATGACAATGTTTTTTTTTTTTTTTTCTCTCCCCGAAACGTGACTCGAAAAATAAAAAAAAAAGTAATAATAATAATAATAATAATTTTTTAACGTTTAACGGGAAAAGGGAAGAGGAAGGAAAAGCGAGTGACTTTTATAAAAAAAAAAAAAAAAAAAAAAGGTCGTCCATCTTTGAAGAGAGAAAATCTATTTAATCCTTAGTTATGTTTACGTGACACATTTTTTTTTTTCCTTTTACCAAAAGATAAAAACCTGGAGAAGAATATAAAAAGGTTTAAAATCTATTTTATAGTACGAAACATAAAAAAAAAAAAAAAAATTTAATAACTCTACACGTATAATTTAATTATAAAATGTTTTTCCACCCCCAACCCCCCAACCTACGAAACGGTTCCTTATTTCCTTTTTTTCCTTTTTCCCGTTACTTTTAACCATAAGTTAAAGACTATTTTAAACGGGGTTTTTTAAATAAAAATATTTCGACAGCACACGTTTTAAACAATTAAAAAGTATTAAAAAAAAAAAAATTTTCCAGGGCGTCAAAAATGCTTTTCCCATCTACTCCCCGCTTTACCCCCCCAGTTCGGCCCCCTTATCGATAATAATAATAATTTCAGAGAGTTTAATATAGAATTTTTTAACTTATCGAAAAAAAATTTTTTTTTTTTACACTCACACAAGAAAAAACGATACGCTAAACGTTGCCAATGAATGATATCCATTCTCTCTCTCTCTCTCTTTTATTATCTTCTCCTTATCTCTTCGTCATTTTCTTTTTTTTTTTTTCAACCCTTTGTTGAAATTTTATACGGTGCCAGGAACAGGCAGACAACACCGTTTACACCGCCATTATATATATTTTTAACTCTTTCCAATCGGAAATTTTTTTTTTTTTTTTATTCCAGTCATCGTTTCCATCAATTTTTTTTTTTTCGTTTGATTTCAAATATATATATATTAATCGATTCCATCGGTTTCGACAAAAAAGAGAAAGAGAGATAGAGATAGAGAAAAAGTTTCACGTGAGAAAATATTATTAAAATGGGAAAAATGTTTTTTTTTTTATGGATAAAAAGGATGGAATGAATAGGAGGTGAGATTGAATTGATGGAAAAAAAACTGACTGACTGCTCAATTAAGTCAAAAAAACTAAATTGCCAAACGTCACGAATTGATGGAAAAACAAAATGGAGAATGAAAATAAAAAAATAAAAAAAAATTGCTTTGTGTAAATTGTTGATTTTTTTTTTTATTTGAAAATGACACGTTTATAATAATAATAATAATAATTTTTTTTATTTCTTTTGTCGTTGAATTTTTTTCTTTTCCAATAGTAATAGTTTTTTTTTTTTTACGTTTTTATTTTGATGACGTAATTAAGTACTTTTCGAAAAAAATTTTTTATGTGTCTCTGACGTAATAATAATAACATTATAAAAATTTATTTATTTATTTTTTGTTTTACTTTATTTTATTGTCGTGACGTCATTTATAAAAATTATCATTATTATTATTATTATTATTATTATTATTATTATTTGATCGAGATTAATAATTAGTCAGGAAAATTGTTTATTTTTGTTTGTTTATAAAATTAAAAAAAAAAAGTTAATAAATAAATTTTTACCGATCAAACAAACAAACAAACAAACGTTAAATAAATAATTATTTAATTTCTAATTATTTTAATTTTCGAATCCTTCTTCCTCCCTCTCTCTCTCTTTTCCTCCCCTCCCCTATCTCTCTCTATTTGTATTTTTTTTTTTTACAAAAATTCATGTCAAAGAAATAAAAAAAAAAAAAAATTGCGAAATTTTAATCGGTCGAATGAGTTTTTTATCCCCCCGCCTTTTTTTTCCTCTCGTCTTCTGCTTACACGTACGTTTATTCATTTATTATTATTATTATTCGCGGAATCGCTACACACGCTCACGCACACTCATAAATAAATAATTATTATTTTTTCAATTATTTTATTTATAAAAAAAAATAAAAAAAAAAAATAAACTCATTCTTCTCTTTCTCACTCTCTCATTCTTTCTCTCTCTTTCCACATCTTATTAATTCTATTTAATATTAATAATAATAATAATAATAATAATAATAGTAATAATTTTCGTTCGCCTCTCTGTGTGTGTATATGATGAAATAGTATATAAATGCAATGAATTTAACAATTTCACGCCTCTCGTAGGAATTCAATTATACTTAGTAACGCCTCTTTGGGCAAATAATATTAAAACTTAATAAGAATAAAACTACAATTAAGCTTTTCATGCTTACTTTAAATTCATCATCAACGCGCGCTTTTTTACCATCTTTCTCTCTCTCTCTCTATCTCTATCTCTCTCTCATTAATATTATTTTATTTCTTTATATTTAAAAAAAATAAAAAATATTAAACGATAATAAATTTTATGCGTATTTATTTTTTTTGCGGTCGCGCGTGCGCATGTAAGAAAATTTTTCGGTGATGACGTATTACTCATATCGGTGACGTCGAAAAGGAAATTCCCTCCCCTTCCTTCCTCTCTCCTCCCCCCGGTAAAGTTAAATTTATATACGTATTTTTTTTTTTTTTTTACTATTGTTATATTCGGTTCGTTCTTTATTTTTGTAAGTAATGAACAAGCACTTAAAACTATCACAAAACTAATATTAATAAACAAGAACTTATTACAGCTAGACTAAAAATCAAATGAACCAACGCCAAGCTGTGTAGCTTGCCTATATTACTTTGGTCTTTCGTCAGTCAACTGTTTCGAATGTTCGAGCAAACACTTGCAAATAAAATAAAAGAAGGAGTCTTTAGAAGCTTCGCTTCTAAAGAAGAACAATTTGAGTTCGTCGCCAGTCTTTTGTTTATAAAAAGTTGAAAATGTGAATATTGAGTACGGGATCATAACACCTCCCCCCTTAAGACGGAAAACAATTATTTTGAAAAAAGAATTTGTTTTCTCCTCTTGTTCGGATTTGACAGTTTCCTATGTCGGGTTCTGAATGGTTCCGTCCAGGTTGAGACTCCTTGAGTAGTAGTAGGTGCTATGTCTTCTGTATGGTAGACTGTTGAATCTCTTCACATTGACTTCTTATCAGGAACATAATTTTAAGCTTTATAGCTGCAAGTAGTAGAACCTTTCCTAGGCAATACTCGTTAGTGAACAATGTTTCATAAAGAGTAAAGATAAAAGAATAAAATCAAGAGACATGAAATTCGAAACAAAATTGACATAAGTTCTGAAAAATACAAGAATTTTATATAGGGTACATAGAAAAGAATAAATGGATTAATAATAAAATAAATGATGATTAGCTATATGGGAAAATAAAAGGATTAAATTATTATTATTTTGGATTTCTCTCTCTTTAGATCAACTACTCAGAACACGGTTTTGTGTTGTTAACTTCCTTGTTACGGATTTTTAATAAAACATTTTTGCCAGATTTTTTCTTGACCTCGTATGGATCTTTAAATTCAGGACTAAGTTTTTTATTTAGATTTCCTCTTGCTAATTTTTGACTGGTTTGAATCTTCTCTTTTTCATTAGACGATAGGTGAACTTTACTTAGTAAAAATAGCTTTACCTCAGGAATACTCTCTTCGTGAAAATCGGTTGACATAAGAATGGATGCTTTCTTCCTAGATTTCTTGGTACTGGAATTCCATTTCCGCTTTTTAGTATGCTTCCCAAAATTATGCTTGTGAATTTTTTTAGTAGCTCCTATATTTTTATTTGAAATTTTTGTTTCCTTTTGAATTTCAGCTTTAGGATGATTTTTAGGTTTTGAATTCTGTATGGATGATCTTTCTTCTTTTACTTTTAGACCTTTTTTCTTATTTTTATTTTTAGGAAGTAATGGTGCTTCTTTAGCTTTTTTCTTAGATAAATTTGTAGAGGGTGCTTCTTTAGCCTTTTTCTTAGATAAATTTGTAGAGGGTGCTTCT